GCCCCTCTGTCAGAGCTGAGAGAGCATGCCTGGGTTGGCCTGCAGGAACCAGGACATGTGTGGAGCAGGGCTGCTTAGGCCTAAAGACCCCATCAGGAGGCTGCCTCTCACAGCTGGCACTCAGTCACAGGGGGAGGCTGGGTACTTGTGAGCCAAGTCCTGAATACAAGGCACCGCTACCCAGAGGCACGAGCAGTGACTCCTTATCGTCGGAAGTCAGCGGAGACTGGGCAGTAGAGTTCCCTTAGCACAGTGAGCCTGCCCACATGCACACGGCCCTTCCCAGGGTGAATTAGAAGCTCATGTGGACGAGCTTCCCAAGTAAGTTCTAAAGGCCCTTGGGAGCTTGGAGAACAGCTGAATACTCATGCCGTCCCACCTTCAAGATAACGAGAAAAGGCAAGTGGCACCGATTCCCAGTGGCTTCCCCACAGACCTCTCCTCACTGCTGCACTTCATTGGAAACAGGCCCTCTTTTCTATTTGCTCATATTCTTTTCAAAGTTATTCACTTTTTATTTTTATGTTATTTGAAAGGTGTGTGTGTGTGTGTGTGTGTGTGTGTGTGTGTGTGTGTGTGTGTGAAGAGAGAGAGACAGAGAAAAAAAGAGAATCTTCCATCCACTGGTTCACTCCCTACCTGCCTACAATAGTCAAAATCCAGGAATTCCATACAGGGTTCCCACATGCACAGTAAGAGCCCAAACATTTGACCCATCACTGCCACCTGCCAGAGTCTGAATCAGCAGGAAGCTATACCAGAGCAGTTCAGCTGTGATGTGAATCAGTCATGGGATGCAGTTATCTTAACTGGCGAGTTAAGCATTCCTCTTTAGCTTTTATGTTACATTCAGTGTATCTATGGCTCCATCTGACCAGTGAATGGTTTTGAGTTGGCCATGGGCTAGTGCCATGCTAAATACAAACAGGGCTGCCCAACCACCTCGAATAAGCTCAGGAAGCCTACTGCACATGACCACTGAAAAGCCATGGTGACAGAGAAAGACTGACATTTGTTGAGAATGTACTGTGCGCCAGACACTTGAACTCCCTCCTCTTCCTGGTTCTCACAGGACTTTAGAAGTGAGTGCAGCTGGGAATGTTCCTGGCAGTCCGACTTCCCCGCTGTCCACAGCACCTGATGATGCCACCAGGGGAATCCCCACCGTGGTGCCCTTACCACCCTCACACACACAGAGGGTCGGCAGCAAAGGAAGGTTAACGAAGACCCAACTTCTCTGAGTAGTCTGTCTTTAGGGAGATTTGGTTCTTGTGCTAAGTCAGAACAAGAGTTCTGGTGAAGAAGAGGCTGTGGCTTTTAGCTGCCAGCACTTGGCATTGCCACTCCAAAAAGACACACTGCAGGAGAATCAAAAGATTCTTGGATGGAGGCCATTCTCCAAAAAACACGACTTAGCTCTGTATCTCTATCCCGTCTTGGAGATTCCTTGATTCGGTCTAGTAACCATCCCTTTTATTTCCTAAAGTTACCTGAGTAATGGGTCTTCCACTTGCAATGCAAAGGATTCTGGATGACAGATTATTTTCATGGTGCAGAAGAAACTTAGCCTCAAAATGCTCCATTTCTTGTCCACGGTCTCCTAGGCAATAATAGGTACAGTAAGAATGTTATCTGCCCCATGCCCATCACCTTTCATACCTGAATTTTCTAAGGTTTTTGAAAACAAACTTTAAAATGCACAGGTATGTAAGTATGCAGATCTGAGCTCGTGGCAGAGTGGTCAGGCCCTGGTCAGGCCCTGGTCAGGCCCTTGGTCCTCTAGGCCTCTGGCAGCTGCACTGTTGAGGCCCTGCAGTTCTTCTTTCTCCAGTACCTTACACATGTGGAACCTCGCGGCCTTTGGATCTGGCTTGTAGGAGGCAGCTGAGATCCAGTAACACTGACATCAATGTGTTCTGAAAACATTATTACATCGGCATTTCAATCACACCCACAGCAGTGTGAGGGGGGCACACACAGTTTTTAAAAACAAGAGAGAAATGTGCTGGGATGGAATTAGATTTCTATCTTAGATTCTGAGGATGAGGATAGCCTTGTTTAGGAGTATATTCCTTGTGCATATAATCGAAGGAAGACAAGAACAGACTGGACTTACTTGAGTCCTATCCCAATGACTGGAATCCTTAAAACACGAGAGCATTAGGGAAACAAGGGTATGCAGGTGACAGTCATGTGATGCAGCTGCAAGCCAGGATACGCCAAGAGCTGTCTGCAACCCCCAGGAGCTGAGACATGACTACATGCAACAGGAAGAGAGTGTCTGAAACACCAGAAACACAGGAGCATCGGGAGTCAGGTGAGCTAACAGGTCGTTTGGGACCACTCCCTTTAAGTGTGCCAGACGCTAGCTTCTGCTCAGACTTTGTCTTCCGAAAGGCACTGTACCAATTCTCCTCCTTTGGGACTCTAGTTCTAACATGGGAATCCACCCTTCTGAGCTGTTTATTATGAGAATACAAAGAAGTGTCCTAGGCCACCCCCTTGACTGCAACTACAATGCCTGCACATTGGTGAGTTTTGTCCCCATCTTCTGATTGCTTCTTAACAGCTATTGTACTTTGCCAGCAAAATCACTTTTAGAAGACTGCACCTTCATGGCTTTTCTGGTGGAGCCCCTCTTTGCTGGCAAGGCAGGAGCCTGCCCACTTCAGCAGGTCTTGCTTTGCTCATAGATTTGTCCACATAGAACTTTTTCATGTGAGTCAAGAACCAATATCACTTCCTTTTCACCATTTCCCCCTAACAGGAGAGATCAGAAGGCGTAGCGCAGGAAGCCCTGGGAATCTCGTCTTGACCAGCGGCCTTCTCTTATCTCAAGATTCATAATTTCATACACATTCCTACCCTGGAGTCTGAGCTCATCTGCTGCTTTCTCTGCATCCTGGTGTGCCCTGCAGCGGCCTGCAGCTTCCTCTGATCTCCAGCTCTGACCCGATGTTTTCCACCCACATCTTAAGTTCTCTACCCTGTGGCTTCATTTCAATGGAACAAAAGCAGAATGCATATGTGTGTGTGTGTGTCTTTTCTATAGAACCCCAACATTCAACTGTTGCTTAATCCATAAAATATTTACCCCACGTTATAGATCTTATATGGCCACCTTCTGGAAATGAATTTAAACTTTGGATAAATGAAGAAAAGTCACATTTCTTGGGTAACAGTAAGACATTTATTTCTTTATAATTTGTTTTCATTCATAAAAAGGACAAAGCACAGTCCTATTCTACTCCATTGAAAAAATGATAAAAAATAACTAAAAAAATCAATTGAATATTTATCAGTATCAAATAAAACTACTATCACCTTTTCTGAATACAAAGAAACAACAGATATGTCTCTACCTATATAAAGTTTAATTAAGAATCTTGTGTCTTAAAGCAGATGATCTATTAGTTAGTTTGACAACAGTTTAAAACTGATGGTCCCAGTCAAGTTTGTACAATGGCATGAGGACATGAAAAGCTTGAGTCGCCGGTACATGAGAGATTGGCATCTACTAATCTGTCACAAATTGAAAACTAAACACCCTCCAGAGACTGTTTTCTCCTTACCGTTCGGAATCATTTCATGCAAAATCAAGCCAGGTTTGTTCCTTGTTACCATACATTAGAAAACAGAAGACAAGCATGCATTTGGCAAAGGATTCTGGTGTTGTTGATGGATAAAGATGGCCACCATGGGTCGCGCTGCAGAAGGGAAACCTCAGAGTGGAAAACACAAACATTTGCACAGAGTATTCATATCCCTAAAGGACAAAGACGCGAAATCTCTGAAATCTGGCAATGAGCTAAGACTGCTGACATACTTCTTCTGGGAAATCATCCATTTCAGTGACTGTAAAAAGTTTCATTTTATAACAAAGAGTTACATGTAAACGAATGACATATTTGTCGATATTTTCATAATGAAGGATCTAAACATTTCATACAGATATACAGTACAAAAATTATACAAATTAAAGAAAGGGGGGATAAAGTAGTTATAGATCTGTTTTCCTTCTTGTAAATATTTTTTATGAACCTATAAGGTATCCTTTCTAAAAAGATAAACTCTATCTGATTAGCTAGCTTGTGCTAATAAAATAGGATTTCACCTCTTGAAATTGCACTGTCTCACCAGCCAGCTAATTCTTCAATACCCGATTTCTTTTTCACACCCACACTCAAACACATTTCCGCACACACCATGAAAAATGAAGAAATGTGTCTCTCTTCCTTTTCACATCTTAGAAAAACCCAAACCACCAGCGCGTGGGAGACACCAGGCCACAGACACAGGAGTCTGCTTCCCATGGCCCCACATTTGCATACTCCTTAAACTATCATTAACAACATATCGATTTGGTATTTTCAGCCAGTTTTTAGTATTGCATTGAAGTGGGAGATGAGTCTGAAACTCACCGCTTCTTAAAGGGACTTTAAAGGGACTTTCAGTCTAGAAGGGGTTCCAAGATCCCATCCTTCCAGAGCTGAAAGGTGGCTCTCGGGAATGGACACAAAAGCAAAGCAACTGGAATAGTGTTAGATATTTCGGATACTCACTTAACTGTCATTTATTCTAACAAGGCAAGGACTCACTTGTTAATACAAAAAAGGAAGCATTCGGCTTTGAAAATCCATCGTTCCACAAATGAATAAATACAGCAATACGATGGCACTGCAGGTAAGAGCTGTGATTTCTGAGGTTTGAAATCGATGATAAGAAATGCATCCAATAACTTCAGAGCTGAATACAAAAATAAAAAAAAGAAATCTTTATAGTGAATGTTCACTGTTTAAAAAAAAAAAACTAACGGAAAGTATTACTGATCCTGAAAATGAACTATTTAGAAAATTAGAAAATCACTTATGTGGAAAGTAAAAATACTGATGGTAATTTCTAAAATCTGATTTTCAATACTCAAGATCTTTCAGATCACTTAGGAAGATTATGCGGTAACGATATTATGACTGGATGTTCCAGTTACACTTTTTTTTTTCAGGAAAACTAAACATGTTGTGAATGGTAGGGGCCATTTAAAGTATGCAGGACCCAAAACAGACAGTCAGCCTTACATGTACCACATACAATCAACGTTTCAACCTCTAGTCTATATCACAACTGGTTATTGAATTTAAAGCACCTGAACATGGCGATTTTCTTTTCACTTCACAGCCTACAGTATTAAACTGAACACTGTAACTTGTTCCACTGCAGTATGTCATGCAGCGTCCATAGAATCAGGTTAAGTGGTGTATAAGGCATATTGGAACGAGTTAAAAATTATTTTGTACCCATTTAAAAGTTTATTCTTTTGGACGCAGGGGTTCCTGAATGCCTCGGTCATCATGTGTGTTGTAAATCAGCTGGAGAGTCTGTTAAAGTGTAATTCATTTGGTTTAGGATGGAGCCGCGGGGATTGCAAGGGACTGTCGCCATCCCGGGGGGTGAAAGGTGTCCTCAGAGCTGGGGGTGGGAATAGCAGCTGTGACACCACACTCAGAATTCCAAGAAGACGAGGACGCCCAGGGCAGGCAGCAGGAGTCCCAGGAGACCTGACGACAGGGCAGACGCACCTACAAAGTAACCCAAAGCAGCACGTTACTTCATCATACCAATCTCCGACACAGCGTGGTGGAGTGCAAGACCCTGCAGGGCCCTGCAACCGACTGCTATGTTTGAGCACTTATTTATTTGAGAGAGAAGGCGAGCGAGAGCAAGCCATGGCTGAACCAGACCAAAGACGAGGGTGTGCACCTCGATCAAGACCTTCCCCGGGGTGAGCCCTCAGGGCTGCCTCTCCAGGTCTACTAGGCAAGATGTTGATCAAGGTCTCCTACACTCTGCCCTGGGACACTCACATCCGTTCTTATCAGTGAGGCTGACCGCCTGCCCCCACAAATGGTCCCTTTTACAAAGTTCCTGTCAGTTTAAGAACAACAAAAGCATTCATTTGATGCTTTGCATATGAGTTTGACTGGACTCTTGATTTTAAGTTTTTTGATTAACTATTTAAAAATAAGATGATTATTAATGATCACGATGTCTCTAGTTCCTAACAGAAGGTGAAAAGTCAAATTGAAAGCATATAGAATGAGTAGAAATATTATGCTGTTATATGCAATGATTATGTAATAGAAATATAATAAATGGAAAGCCATATATAATTTTTAAAGGAAATAAAGCAGGGTTGGGCATTGTGGAACACCGGGTAAAGCTGTGGCGTGGGACATCCCATCCGAGCGCTAGTTCTAGTCCTGACTGCTCTCTGCTTCCAATCTGGCTTCCGACCAATGGCACCTGAGTGGTGCTGCATGCCATCCCATCTCACAAGGGAGACCAGATGGAGATACCAGTTCTTGGTCTCAGCCCAGCCCAGTCGTGGCTGTTGCAGGCACTAGGGGAGAAGCAATGCTTGAAAGATCTCTTTCTCCCTCTTTCAAAATCCAGCACCCTGCCTTTCAAGCGGATGGAAAACAAGCGCTAAAAGCACAGTAGAGGAAACGCGAGTACAGACAGTAAGAATGGCAACGGAGCAGGTGACATCGGGTGACGTGGAAAGACTTGGCGTTAGTGCACCTGCAGTGGTGGAGGACGAGTCCTGCCAGACAATGACGTGAGGAATGCGTCTCCCATCACGGCCCCTAAAGTGCTTCCACTTTTACCTACACAAACTCCGTAAGGTATCCTGCCGAGAAGTAACCGAGAAAATGCTGCAAGATGATGCAGACTGATGTTAGACCCTGGGAGGCATCCCGGAGAGCTACCTGTGACCCAGCTGGTTTATGGGGCCACCTTTTGTGTGCATGAGGACTCTTGGAAGCAGTCACCAAGAGGGACCAGGCAGCCCTATTCCTTACTTGCATGCGCCACAGGCCAGGCTGTGGGGACCTGTTGGCAGGCCGGGCATACGTAAGAGGTTTTGGGTGCATTTGGGGAAGTTTATTTTCTAAACTTGACACCTTGAAATCATTCTTTTGTAGCATATTAAAAATCATTAGGAATAGCCTATTCTTTGTAACATTCTATTCAAGTCAGGAAGACTCAGGGCATCTCTCCTGCCCTTCTCATCATCAAAAACAGATTCATGCTCCCTGCAAGGCAAAACAGTCTCATTCCGACCTGTATGTGGTGTGCTGCCACCTCCCTGCCTGCTGCCTTTGTGAGAAGGCATTGTCAAATAGAGAGAGCAGTTCTGAAGGACCACACACACACAACCCTCTACTACAGTGTGGCAAATCCTATATTCTGATGTTATACATATTTTAAGAAATTTAAGATACATGCAAAGAGATCTTCCATGGCTGTTTTACCTCCTCCCCCACAAAAAATACTAGCAACAGCTGGTACTCAGCCTAGCTGAAGCCAGGAGCCGTGAACTGGGTCCAAGTCTGCCACGTGGATGGCAGAGTTCAGATACTGAGGCACCCCAGCAGTCTGCACTGGCAGGAAGCTGCAATGCGAAGCAGGGCGCAGACTTTACGCTACGCATGTCATCCCAGGGTCCGATTCTCCAGCCTTCGTAACTCAGGCCCAGGTGCATGGCTCCCATTACTGTGGCCTCAAGGTGAACAGGGGTCAGACTCAGACAGGCCCAGGGACCCCGTGCTCTGGGCTAATTGTGTCCAGGGCCACGGCACAGAGGGAACAGCAAAGGGGCAGCATCCCAGAGGCCACTGTAGCCTTGTAGGAGTCTTTCTTTTAGCTTTCTGGTGAAACATCACACCAAAGCCCACAAGGGAATTTATTCTGACATGGGCCAGTGGCTAGCCTGCACCCTACATACACTGCGCCACCTTCCACACTCACTCCACGGCTTGCTGGGTCCTGACGCCTAGCCTGAGGCTGGAGGGGACTCCGTCTTCCCCCTCTGCCCCTTGGCCACAGCCACCTTGGGGAGCTGAGCCCTCTGCATGCTGGACCTTCCCAGCTGTGGCTTGGCCTGCAGCAGATGGTGGCTGCTGGGAGAAGCTGGATGCACTGTGGACATGGTTCTCAAGGTCTGGTGTCGGCATGAAAACCAAGAACAGTCTCCTAATTTGTGGCTTTGGTAGCAGGGTATTTGATTTATTTAAGATCAACTCCTCATGTTTACGAGTGTTATATTTAATTTCTTTAATGGCTTGTGCTTATGTAATTGTGGTCTTTGTCTTCAGTTCTTTGCCACGTTCTGAGTAGAAATTACAGACTGGCTAAATTCCTATTTAAAGTTGTTTTGAATGTGAATCTGTGTGTTCTTGATGGGGTTTCAACATACAGTAGCTTCATGTCTTATAAAATCTGTTCCGTACGACTTCTGTCAAGCCTGCTCCTAGCCCTCCTGTGGCACTGAGTAAACACGTGCTTTTCACATGCCTGGCGAATGGCAAACATGAACAAACTGTGGATCTTGTGAGGCGTTTTCCCTATCAGAAAACCGTCACGCCAACGCAGGCTATGTCTCTTCTGGATTCCCTGGATTTTGAAAAATCTCAGCTCCAGCAATGACCTCCTCCCAGAGGCATTCCTGCTCCTGGCAGAGGACACTGAGGCAGGCAGTTCCAGAAGGTTTTGCAATCAACACAGAGCTGCTCCGCTTGGCCTTCAACAGCTGGCTTTCCTTTCTGAAGTCTACGTCCGGCCATCACAGTCGAACCTGACTTGCCACCACCTGGCTGCGGCTACTGACTCCACAACGCTCAGACTTCTCTCTGCATGGCCTGGAGATTTGCCCACTTCATCTTGTCAGCTGTTGAGAGGCGCCAGTCCCAGTGTACCAGTGTACTGGAAGTGCTCAACCCCCAACGGTGAACAGATCAGTCAGTTGTTGCTGAACATTTCTGATTTCGGAGTGCAAGGTGCCGAGAGCTCGCAGACGGGACGCAGGGAACCAATGCAGCAGGTGGTCAGAGGCGCCTTCTGTGACCTGCAGCCATGGAGCCTTTGGGCTACTTCTGCAGAGTTTCCTGGGTTCTGCTTAACTGTTTTGCACAGTTTTCTTGCTCAGTTCAAGAGACTCCTATTTGCCCAAGTTAACAGAGTGCAGCTTTCATCATTTCAGCAAGGAGTTTATAAATGTGTCAGTGCTCTTCTCTTGCTCCATGAATGCTGGGAAATTTTCTTTAAAAACTGTTCAGTTTGTAACGAACATGTCAAGTCTGCACTCTGATTGGGAACTGAAAATGTCCTTGCACCACCCATATTTCCACCAGTCGTTCTAATCTTCTTTTAGTTTCTCCACTATAATTCAAAAATTTAGCTGATTGATAACAATTGAATATCGTTACACAGATGTTTATATATGTGTATAATACACAGTGTTGAAATCAAGGTAAACATGTCTATCTCCTCAAGTAGTTAATGTTTATTTCACAGCAAGAACACTCACAATCCTTTTCTATTTTCCTTTCAAAAACAAGTACGTGGGGGGGGGGTGGAGGGCAGTGTTCGACAGGCTAACCTACCTTGCAGCACCTGCAACCTATTAGGGTGCCAGTTCTAGCCCCTGTTGATCCACTTATGGCCTGGAGACGCAGTGGAGGCTGGCTGAAGCCCTTGGGCGCCTAGACCCAAGTGGGAGACCCAGAAGAGGCTCTCTAATTTTAAAAACAAAATCTATTTTACATATTTGAAATCAGAGTTATAAAGAAAAAGAAGACGAGAGAGAGAGAGAGAGAGAGAGAGAGAGAGAGAGAGAGAGAGAGAACCACTTCCCAGATGGCTGCAGCTGCCAGAGGTGAGTGAGGCCGAAGCCAGGAGCCAAAAGCTTCATTTGGTTCTCCCTCCTGGGTGCAGGCCCCAAGGACCTGGCCATTCTCTGCTGCTTTTCCCAGGTGCCTTAGCAGAGACCTGGACCACAAGTGGAGCAAATGGTATTTGAATAGTAACTCACACGGGACTTGCCCCGTAGGTGGTGGCGTAACCTGCTATGCTGTATGTGGTCTCCTAGACCCTCTGTCTTTTTTCCACTGGTCTGTGTGTCTGTTCTCACGGGAATATCACAGTGTTTAATCACTGACAATCTGATTTACAGTTTCAAGTCCAGTAGTATAACGTTTCCTTCTTTGTTCTTTCTGCTAATGACTGCTTTGGCTATTCAAGATTTTCTCTTTCATTTTTTGTGGTTCCATGCAAATTTGGGATTGTTTTTCCAGCTCTGTGAAGAAAGAAACTGGTTTTCTGATACAGACTGTGGGGAATCTGCTGATCCCTTGGATTGAGGAGCTCAGGCTGCAGTGACTGGCTGTGCAGTCCTGTCTAAAACCCAGATTTCACTCCATCTCTACGCCCAGGACGACAGGCTGGCAGGAACAATGTGGGAAATTGCTTCTTTCCTGTCTTCTTCACTGTTTCTTCTTATTCAACCCAAATCCGACACTGTGCTCTCTCACCTGGCTTCCCAGGAGCGCTGAAGGCGTGTGTTACATGGCTAAATGCTGATCAATGACATTTCAAAATGCTTGAAGCAATCCACAGTAGATTTCTAAGGAACTTCGAGACAAGACACCAAAGCTAGGAACAAAGTTCAGGACTATTCACTTGTGACACACTAGGTCCCACCTGCCCTGCTCTCCTGCTTGCCTGGCTTTGCCAGCCT